TTCTTTGAGTGGACATGTCTGTAATTGCTACGTGTCTTATTATAGTTGAATGATGAAATATATAGACATTTGAACAAAATTAACATATAGGTTAAACTTGATATTTTCCTCACTCTCTAAAATTAGGCAAACTTTCTCCAGCATTGCATACAATAGTAACACAATAAAACAACTTATAAGGATGCAATAAAGCCTAGTGACATTCCATTTTGAGGTTCTCCTTTCACACAAACTGATAAACAGAGAATGCTGGCAATTATAATTTAACAATCCTTCTTGGGTATAATTCTAACAAACCCGGAGTTTAGAGTTCTGAACAGAGATTAAAAAGTCTAGCTAGTGCAGGGCTCAGTGGCTCACCCCTGTTATCCCAGCACTTTGGGAGGCCAAGGCGGGCAGATCACCTGAGGTCGGGAGTTCACAACCAGCCTGACCAACATGGATAAACCCCATCTCTACTAAAAATACAAAATTAGCCAGGCATGGTGGCGAATGCCTGTAATGCCAGCTACTCAGAAGGCTGAGGCAGAAGAATTGCCTGAGCCCAGGAGATCTCAAAAAAGTCTGCAGACCTCAGTGGCTCATGCCTGTAATCCCTGCACATTGGGAGGCCAAGGCAGGCAGATCAGGAGATTAGCTGGGCATGGTGGCATGCACCTGTAATTCCCAGCTACTCAGGAGGCTGAGGCATGAAAATCACTTGAACCTGGGAGATGGAGGTTGCGTGCATTCCACTGCATTCTAGCCTGGGTGACATAACAAAACTCCGTCTCAAAAACAAAAAACAAAACAAAAAAATCACACAGAGAAGGCAGGTTTATAGGTAGCAGCAGCAGCAGCAGCAGCACTCCCAATCTTGCATTCTCTCTAAGGCTTACATCTTGCAACTCTGCTACCACCCAACCAACATAACTTCACTCATCATCATCTATTCACTTTCAAGTAGATCCTACCATTTACAGAAGACTGAGGACAAGCTTATAGTAAACTTGTTCATAATCCTAAAAGATTTCATCATTTATTTGGATGATCTGCTCAGTCTCAAAATTCTTAGACTTTCATTTCTATTTAATTTTAGCCATCCACTTCCAGAGCTATAAACTAAATTGTCAATCACCTGGAACTGCTCCACTTTGGACATTTTAAATCAATAAATCATTAAGATGGAGAACTTGCTAGTAAATAGAATATTCCATTCCTTACCTTTTTCTAACAAGATTGGGAGTGCTGCTGCTTCTCCTACCTTGCCTTCATTTTCCATTTTCTCCTTTCTGTTGGACTCTTCATTCTCTTCCTTCCATGCCTGCCTGGACTCCAAGAAGTATCATCTGAACCAGCACCTTTGATCAAAATCCTTATTCTTTCCTTATAGCCATCTAACCCAAAAATCAGTACTACAAATTCACTTTCCTCATTCACTTAACCATCATGATGCTTGTTAAGCACAAATACAGAAAAATTACTGAGTGATTCATCACAGAACTCCATGTCATTGGGAAAACCGATTTAGCTCCCAGTTCTTTTTTCTGGGTGTAGAACATGAATCAGGCTGAGCCAATCAGGTTACTCTGACCTACTGACAATAATGATAAGTTCAGGAAAAAGTATCTGATCTAAGGCAACCTAATCAGTTAATAGCAAGAAGAAATTTCATCCGTAATGCTAGAACAAAGATTCTCAAAATTAACACAAGCATTTAGCTTACCTGAAGCATTAAGGGGAACCAGGTTAAGTTGACATCAAATAAGCAAATCAAGATATGAAAAATCTGATCTTGAAGATACTGAGCAGCTGACTCCACCCTGATGCCACTAAATCCTACTTCATCATTTGATTTATTTACATGGACCAATAAACTCCCTTTCAGCAAGGGTTGCAGTGGGTTTTCTATCAAAGGCCAAAAAATTCTGATACAAATATTATGTATCACAATTTTTTTGGTCTGTGATAGAAATCATACTAATGCTTTGGTTGATATTCAGCTGCCAAATCTAGTCTTAGATTTCATCTACAGTAATCAGAGCTTCCTTCTTTCTCTAAGCCAATAATTTGCTCATAATAGACATTTGAGGAATATTTGTTGAACCAAACTAGCAAGGCAGGATCTAGACCAAGGATGTGGATTAACCACGTTAGAACAATATTATTTCCTAGAAGCAATAAAACCAACTTTGAGACAGCGTTGTTCAATCTTTTCTGACTGTTCCGCAATAAGTAATGTATTCTCTATCATGATCCAGTATACAAAAAATCTATATAATTCAAGAAAAGGGCCAGGCACAGTGGCTCACACCAGCACATTAGGAGGCTGATGCGGGCAGATCACAAGGTCAGGAGATCGAGACCATCCTGGTCAACAAAATGAAACCCCATCTCTACTAAAAATACAAAAATTAGCTGGGCATGGTGGTGCACACCTGTAGTCCCAGCTACTTGGGAGGCTGAGGCAGGAGAATTGCTTGAACCCAGGAGGCGGAGGCTGCGGTGAGCCGAGATCGTGCCATTGCACTCCAGTCTGGGTAACAACAGCAAAACTCTGTCTCAAAAAAAAAAAAAAAGCATTTAATCCCAAAGCACTGGTATTTTCTCCATTCCATTTTTTAAAAAATTTTTATTGTTGGCTGGGTGTGGTGGCTCAAGCCTGTAATCCCAGCACTTTGGGAGGCTGAGGCAGGTGGATCACAAGGTCAAGAGATCAAGACCACCCTGGCCAACATGGGGAAACCCCGTCTCTATATATTATTATATATATTTTTTAATTTTTTTATTGCATTTTAGGTTTTGGGGTACATGTGCAGAACATGCAAGACAGTTGCATAGGTGCACACATGGCAGTGTGTTTTGCTTCCTTTCTCCCCTTCACCCACATTTGGCATTTCTCCCCAGGCTATCCCTCCCCAGCTCCCCCCACCCCCCCCCCCCCGCTGGCCCTCTTTTCCCCCCACTCTATATATTATTTAAAAAAAAAAATGTTTATTTTTGATTTCATACCCCTCACAAAGGTCATGACTTATATACTGGAAAAAAAAATAGTCCTAGTTCTCTTAAATTAAAATAGAGAACCTGCTAGTAATAGATAGGTTGGGCAAACACTACAAAAGAAGTTTATATACTCTGGTCCAGTCACCTTCAAATCAATTAGGTTAAGAGCTTCTTAACTAGTTCCACCTCCTGTCTACTCTCTCATCTCCATCATGCAAAAATTAGACTTTCCATGTTACTTCTGCCTTACCCAAGTCTTCAAAGTTGTCCACAGTCTACTAGGCTCAGCTCTGAGACAAGAGGCCAGAATCCACTAAATGTACCAAACATTGCAGACAGTGTGTAAAATATTTCAAACACACATATGATGACAACTACTTGTCAAATTTATATACATGTCACTTAATAAAATACAAATTCATTCATAAGTATCATGGAATTTACAGGAACATTCTGACACCATTCTAAATAGGCCAACCGGCTGGGAGCGGTGGCTCACGCCTATAATCCCAGTACTTTGGGAGGTCAAGGCGGGTGGATCACGAGGTCAAGAGATCGAGACCATCCTGGTAAACAAGGTGAAACCCCGTCTCTACTAAAAATACAAAAATTAGCTGGGCATGGTGGTGCGCGCCTGTAGTCCCAGCAACTCAGGAAGCTGAGGCAGGAGAATCGCGTGAACCCAGGAGGTGGAGGTTGCAGTGAGCCAAGATTACACCATTGCACTCCAGCCCGGGTGACAGTGTGAGACTGTCTCAAAAAAAAAGTCACCAATCGTTGTAAATGTATAAATCTACTCTGAATAAAAGAAAAATTGTTTTGAAGACTCTACTACTGAAGATGACAATAATCCAAGGTCTGGGTTTCCTTAAAGTGTTTTCCAGATAGGAGATCCCTAAAGATTGACATCTTGTTTGAGATAGCAGCCAGTTGTATTATTCATGATTTTTACCTAAAGCTATTCAAAAAATAAAACCTTGAAACTTCCTAAGTGCTCTTTTTTATCTTATTTTATCATTACAACAAAACATACAACACAATTATTCTTTTTTTTTTAAAAGTTCTTCACCTTAGCCATCACTGGTGGTGGAACACACCTATGTAACTTATAGACAAACTTGTTAGAATCACTTCAAGTTTCTGAGCTTTAAAATCATTTAAAGAACAATTCCATACCAATATGGAATCAAAGTATTTCGTTTCTAGGTACAGTTTTTCCTTAAAACAATATTGAAAGCCATGAGATACTGCAATCATAGAAGCAGTAGGAATAAAGAGAAAGCAAAAATCAAAACTAAAGCTGTGAGAAATGTCAGGATAATGCAGAGGGGAAAAAAACTTTCGAATGACTGACCTTAGCTGTAACTAAGTAATTGCTAATATTTATTTAGCCCCCACTTCATATTCAAGCATTACTCTAAATCTTTTACGTGACTTCGTTTAACCCACGCACCACCTGTTAAGTAGATATTATTATTATCCCCATTTCACAGTTCAGATACTGAGCTTTTGAAAGTTACCGAGTCCGAGGTCAAAAGTAAACAGTAGAGCAGGGACTCAAACCCAGGTGTACCTGCCAACTGGAAGTATTAAGTCCTTGCTCCTAACTGCTACTTCATTGATCTGGCTTTATGACTTTATAAGTCATATATCCACCCTGGGCCTCAGTTTATTCATCTGTAAAAACGCAACGAATGCTACAGTGTAGCTCCTTCCAGCTCTACCTAGCGTCGTTATCATCTACCTTACTGAGCGTCAACAAGCCAATGTCATCTCTTCTTTTAACTGAATTCAACTCAAACAGCATTTACAATGCACCTACTAGGTGTCCAGCCTTTTGCTGCGCGAGCGCCCAAGCCCAAGTCCCCCCACGGTCGCTGCTCTCTCCCCGACGCCAGCAGGCCCTCGCTTTCCTAGCAACTCTCTGAGACCAGCTGGGGTTCTTCGCTCCTCTGGAGCCCCTACGGGCACACAGATGTCTCGGAGCAGTCCCAGCTCTGGCCCCTGGGTCCACTCACCCTTCTGGTGGTCTCTGCTGACAGGCGCCGCAGGAACCCGCGTCCCCGCTGCCCCGTCCCCCACGGGGATTGGGTGATGAGCGCCTGTCTGCGATGGTTCGGCGACTCTGCCTTTCGCCATGGCTGCAGCAAGAAAAGTGGAGGGAGCGATGTGGTGCCGCGCCCCCTAATCAACCAAACTACTTCGCAGGCTCCTTACTACGCCAAAGGGCCACCGCCAGAGCCACTTCCGGCGCGACCTCCTCACCCGAGACAACCTCAGCACCGCGAGCACAGCGACGCCCAGGTAAGACCCGCAGCGTCCACCCCACGCTAAACCCCACCCCGTGCCGCCCCCGAGCCTCGCGCGCTCGCGCCGGCCCAGTGACCGCGAGACAAGTCAGGGTCCTGGACCGCCCCCTCCAGTGTTCCGCCCCGCTCCGCGCCCGCGGGAAGCATGCGTAGTTGCGGCACCCAAGTCACCCGGCTGCGGCTAGCCGGCACCGGCATCTAAAGCGCAGCCTTAATTATCCGGAAGTGCAGCCCCAGGGACTTCAAACCTTTTGTCCAGGCCGCCGGAAGTGCCTGCGAGTGATTAGTCGGCGTTTTGCGGCTGAGGCTGATTCAGCCCATTACGTCAGTTCCGCAGCTGCTGTCTTCAATTTGGAAGCGCCAGAGAGTGCTTGGTCTAAAGATGGTGAAAGATATAAAGGCTGAGCAAAACCTACCTGAATTTTAGAAAACTAAGGCTCAGAGAGGGCTACCTACCACCTGAAGGTCACAGGGTGGCAAAAATGGGCTTAGAATCCAGGTTGTCCTGTTCCCAAAGCTAACGGTTTTCCATTAGCTGGTGCTCCTTACTGCTAAACCCAAGTCACCGCTACACTTGGCTTATACTTTAAGCGGAAACATGCCTTTTCCACAGTTAACGTTTTCTGCTTCTACCCCTCAGAACACATTCAGCTTACAAACCATGGTTACCTCTTGAAAGCAACTTGGAGGTCGGGCGCGGTGGCAAACGCCGGTAATTCCAGCGCTTTGGGAGGCCAAGGCGGGTGGATCATTTGAGGCCAGGAGTGTGAGACCAGCCTGGCCAACATGGTGAGATGAGACCACGTCTCTACTAAAAATACAGAAATTAGCTGGGCATGGTGGCTTGTAATCTCAGCTACTCGAAAACCTGAGGAGAATCGCTTGAACCCCGAAGGCTAAGGTTGCAGTGAGAGATTGCACTCCTGCACTCCAGCACAGGCAACAGCAACACTCCAACTCAAAATAAAAAACTGTTTCTAGTCAGTAATTACATTTCTAGGAAATTATTCTTGAAAATAAACATAAATAATTCCTTCTGTAGTAGTATAACTAAAAAAATGAAAGCAATCTAAAAATCCAACACTAAATAAAAATGGTTAAGTAAATTATAGGAAACCCATTAAATTGGACAATGCTTATGGGAAAACATTCCAAGAGAAAACTATTTTTAAAAGGCCAGGTGTTTTAGTTCAAAACAGTGTAGGAAAATAAATAATATTAAAAAAAAAAAAAAGGCCGGGTGTGGTGGCTCATACCTGTAATTCCAGCTCTTTGGGAGGCCAAGGCGAGCACATCACGAGGTCGACACATCGAGACCATCATGGCCAACATGGTGAAACCTCGTCTCTACTAAAAATACAAAAATTAGCTGGGCGCGGTGGTGCGCGCCTGTAGTCCGAGCTACTGGAGAGGCTGAGGCAAAAGAATCCCTTGAACTTGAGAGGCGGATGTTGCAGTGAGCCGAGATCGTGCAACTGCACTCCAGCCTGGTGATAGAATGAAACTCCGTCTCAAAAAAAAAAAAAAAAGAAAAGGGACCGGATGCAGTCCCTCACGCCTGTAATCCCAGCATTTTGAGAGGCCGAGGCAAGCAGATTAGGAGGTCGGGAGATCGAGACCATCCTGGCCAACATGGTGAAACCGGGTCTCTACTAAAAATAAAAATATTAGCTGGGCGTGGTGGTGCACGCATGTAGTCCCAGCTTCTCGGGAGGCTGAGGTGGGATAACTGCTTGAACCCAGGACTGCAGTGAGCCGAGATCGTTCCACTGCACTACATCCTGGTGACAGTGCAAGACTGTGTCTCAAAAAAAAAAAAGAAAAGAAAAACAAAAGAAAGAAAAGCACGACTCAACAGAAAAATGAGCAAAGAACAAGAATCGTCAATACACAGAAGAAAAAATTAAATGTGTTTAAGACACCTGAGTATGCAGTGGGAAAGCCAACTCCAAAAATGAAGACATTCAAAAAAATTAGAAAAAGATTAACAACCTCAGTACAGTGTGATAAGAGTGGTTGAGGAGTGCACAGATTCCAATAGCAGAAGAGAGGAATATTTAAATTACAGTGGGGCTGTAAAGTCTCCTAGGAAGCAGGATTAAAACTGATTTTTAGAGGATGAATAGGAACTAACAAAGCTGAAAGGGGGGAAATAGCTTTTTCAAAGGCTAGAAGCTACTCCTTATATTAGAAAAAGTGCTTCAAGTGAAGGGTGGAAGCCAGGTGTGGTGGCTCACACCTGTAATCCTAGCACTTTGGGAGGCCGAGGTGGGTGGATCACCTGAGGTCAGCAGTTCAAGACCAGAGTGGCCATCATGGTGAAACCCCATCTTAAAAAAAAAAAAAAAAGAAATGATATGAAAAATATAAGACCAGGAACTTATCATAAACTGCTAAAAGTTTGAACTTAATCCTCAAAGATATTTAACCAGAGAGGGACTTACTAAGATTTGTATTTTCAGGTCCAGGTGTGGTGGCTCACACCTGTAATCCCAGCACTTTGGGAAGCCGAGGAGGGCAGATCACAAGGTCAAGAGATGGAGACCATCCTGGCCAACTTGGTGAAACCCCACCTCTACTAAAAATACAAAAATTAGCCGGGTGTGGTGGCGCACACCTGTAGTCCCAGCTACTTGGGAGGCTGAGGCAGGACAATCACTTGATCCCAGGAGGTGGATGTTGCAGTGAGCCGAGATTGTGCCACTACACTCCAGCCTGGCAACAGAGTAAGACTCTGTCTCAAAAAAAAAAAAAAATTGTATTTTCAAAGCTTATTCTGACTGCCTATGGAAGAATGCCAAACCAAGAGCAGAAAGAAAACTTAGAAGGTTATTGTAATAATACTGGCCTGACCCAGCCTAATGTACTGGAAACAAAGAGAAGATATCAGATATAAGATGATTTATGAGAACTATCTCTAAACTTTTATTACTTTAATTACATGAATATATACATAGTCAGTGAGGAGGGGAGCTGAAAAAAAAAAAGAATATATACATAGTCATTCCAGACAATTTTTTTTTTTGAGATGGAGTTTCGCTCTTATTGCCCAGGCTGGAGTGCAATGGCACAATCTCTATTCCCCGCAATCTCCGCCTCCCCAGTTCAAGGGATTCTCCTGCCTCAGTATCCAGAGTAGCTGGGATTACAGGCATATACTACCATGCCCAGCTAATTTTGTATTTTTAGTAGAGACAGGGTTTCCCCATGTTGGTCAGACTGGTCTGGAACTTGTGATCTCTGATGATCCACCCACCTCAGTCCAAAGTGCTGGGGTTATAGGTGTGAGCCACCGCACCTGGCCTATAGACAAATATTAAAAAAGCAAATTATCATACAGAAAAACATTAAGGCCAGGCAGGGTGGGTCCTGTACTCCCAGCACTTTTGGAGGCTGAGGAGGGCAGATTTATTGAGCTCAGAAGTTTGGGACCAGCCTGAGCAACACTGTGAAACCCTGTCTCTACAAACAATACAAAAATTAGCAGGGCATGGTGGCAGGTCCCAGCTACTCAGGAGGCTGAGGCGGGAGAATGGCTTGAGCCCAGTAGGTGGAGGTTGTAGTGAGCCAAGATCATGCCATTGCACTGCAGCCTGGGTGACAGAGCCAGACCCTGCCTCAAAGAACAAAAACAAAAACAAAAAACATTAATGCAAAAAAAAAAAAAAACTATAAAAATCATCTCTCTTACATTGGCAGTGGCGAATGCATATGAGTCTGTAGCAACCTCAATTCTTGCCACTTCAGAAGAATTTGACCAAAGGCCATAAGGCAGAGTGAGAGATTGAGACAAGTTTTAGAGGAGTGAAAGTTTCTTTAAAAGCATTAGAGCAGAAATGAAAAGAAGTAAAGTGCACTTGGAAGAGGACCAACAGGTGACTTGAGAGATCAAGTGAACAGTTTGACCTTTGACTTGGGGTCTTACACATTGGCCCGGGGTTATTTCTCCCCTGATTCTTCCCTCGGGATGGCCTGTCCACGTGTGCAGTGGTCTGCCAGCACTTGGGAGGGGCTGCATGCACAAAGTGTTTACTGAAGTTGCACACATGCTCACATGAGGCAGTTTTTCCTTTACCAGTCCAGTGTTCCTAGAGGAAGGTCATACACCACTTAAATTCAGCCATTTTGCCTCTTAGTTCGCATGCTTGAGCCAGAGAGCTTACTGAGAAGCTGCTGATCATCAGTTTCAGGTTTTTTTTCTACCTATTGGGAGACTGCCTTTCCCTAGTGCCGGCTGCAGCCAATTATTGTTTCAGAAAGGCAGTTTAACAGCTACCTAACCATCACTTGATGGTTGCCTGACACTCCTGCTAAAGTGGAAAGGCCCTCTCCTGCCCTGCTCATGTCTGATTAGCTACCTACTATAACAATATCACCATCCATAGATAATTATAATATTGGAATTTTTCCTCCTGGGATATTAAAAATGTTAAAAAGTAGAATCTAGAGGACAGTGTCACGTAATGTCCTCAGACGAAGATGTTAGTGAGAGGAAAGACACTAGGTGTTTGGAGAGTTCCTGGTTTAGGAGGCTGAATGTGGTAACAGTGGGACCACAACCCCAGCCAGTGAGTAGGCTCTAGACATCATTGCAGGAAGGAATTCATGGATGAGTCAGAGAACAGTGAAAGTACAAGGATTTATTGCAAGGTGAAAAGTACACACTGAAGAAAGGGGAGTGCAGGTGTACTCAAGGAGTAGCCCAGTAGAGTTTGAGATTTCTACCTTTCTGTGTTTCTTTAACCAAAGGGTGGAATAGTCATAAAGACTCCTGGAAAAATTTCTGGATTTTTCAGAAATGTGGTACCACCTATTTTTACACCAAATATGTTTGTTCCTCGAACCGTCAGGGAGTTGATGGGCGTGTGATTATATTTTGTTGTTTTCGTTTGTTTGTGTTTTGTTTTTTTGAGAGAGAGTCTTGCTCTATTGCCCAGGCTGGAGTGCAGTGGTGTGATCTCTGCTCACTGTACCCTCTATCTCGCAGGCTCAAGTGATTCTCCTGTCTCAGCCTCCCAAGTAGCTGGGACAACAGGCACATGCCACCACAAATGGCTAATTTTTGTATTTTTAGTAGAGATGAGATTTCATCATGTTGGCCAGGCTGGTCTCAAATGCCTGACCTCAAGTGATCGCCTGCTTAGGCCTCTCAAAGTGCTGGGATTACAGGCATGAGCTACACACCTGGCCTATGTTAACAAGCCTATAATGAGATCCTAGGTGAAATCTAGGTCAAATCCAGCGCTATGTTGGATATAG